ATTTATTATAAGTAGACAAGAGAATATTTTAACTCCTCTGCAGGTTTTCAGTAAGAACACTGATCTAACTAGCACACTTAGTGCATCTGTTTGGGTGTCCCCTCGTAGCTCTCCACTGTTGGACCCCCTCCCGTGCTGTCCCACTCTTGTCCCCTCCTCCTCCTCAGGTCCCTGTCCTAGAGAGCAAGGAATGAAGACTGGAAGCCAAGAGTTATTTGCAAGGGCCACAGGGGGATGGGCCAGCTGGGAGGCGACCCTGGACCTTCTGGACCTTCCAGGGCCGGGGAAGGAGGCAGCGGAGGAGTGATTAATTGCTGAAGCTTCTGGCTGGACAGGCTGCATCACATTCCAGAGCCTGAGAGACATTTCCAGGCACCCCCGGGGGCTGGGGGCCTGTGCATGCGCCTGTCTTCCAGAGGCTGTGTCTTCAGGAGGCGCTGCCCGCGTGCCTGTGGGGCGTGGCCCTGTGCGGGAGGGCTGAGGGCTTTGGGGATGAAGTGACCCTGTTGGGGAACCGGGCTTCGGAAACATCCAGCCAGGGCAGTGTCAGGAGCTTGGCCTGTGCGCAGGGTGACTTTAAGGATGTGGGCGGGAGCTGCCGAAGAAGCCAGCCCTCAGCGGAGGAGGAGGTGACAGGGCACTGGAGCCATTTCATGGGGAGCACCTGGGGCTGTGCTGCTTTTCCCCCTCCCCCTGGGGCAAGGGGCTGGGTGGTGTGCGCAGCCTCCAGGGGACTCAGGTCCTAGCATCTGTTTATGATGGTTACTGGCAGCTTGAGGCTGGTTTCCTCGTTGTACTGTGCTCTTAGCGGCAGCTCCTGCCAGGGGCCGAGCGGTAGAAACCCACGTGGCTGTCTTAGGCACTGGGCAGTGGGTAATCAATGGTTTCCTCCCTTGCCACTATGCAGAGGGCCCAGCTTCCTGCTGCTTTACCCAGCGCTCAGCACAGGCGAGAGGTCTCAGCCCTGGACACACAGATGCTGGACCTCGGGTCCCAGCTGTAGCGGGATGGTCATTCTGGTGGCCGTGCAGGGAGTCAGGGCATCAAGTGTTTGATTGGAGTCGCTGCTTGTGTCACTGCCTGTGCCGCTTCTGTGGACCCTTGCTCTGCCCCAGCCCGCTCTGTGCCAGGTGGAGAGTGGGGAGCCTGTGGGACGGCCTTGGGGCCTCAGCTGACCAGACTCCTGCCTCATCCTGAGCAGGGAGAAAGAGACTGTCCTCCACGCTCCCGGGTCCTCCCGCTGCTCTAATAGTTAAGTCTACATGAGACAGATGAACAAGAGAAAATAACCAAACTTAATGATGCACATAAGCACGGGAACCCATGTACATGAGAGTCAGAGACAGAAAGGGAGGTAAAGTATATAAGGCGCCCGAGCCCTGCCAGATGGCTCAGTTGGTTGGAGTGGTAGGGACCCCTGGTGGTCCGTCAGGTCTGAAAGGTTGGCGACCGCTGCCCTACACTGTCTGTGACCGAGCCCTGCCAGATGACTCAGTTGGTTGGAGTGGTAGGGACCCCCTGGTGGTCCGTGAGGTCTGAAAGGTTGGCGACCGCTGCCCTACACTAAAAGTTTGTGGGCTTGATTCCCGGTCAGGACACATGTCTAGGTTGCGGGCTCTATCCCTAGGCGGTGGTGGTGTCTGTGTGGGAGGCAACCTATCGATGTTTCTCTCTCTCTCTCAAATCAATAAAAACATATCCTCAGGTGAGGATTTAAAAAAAAATTTTAAGGTTATCTCTGATAATCTATTATGGGCAAGGCCCCTAATTTAAATTCTCCTAAGTAGTTAAGAGGAGGCAGAAGTTTCTGTCAAGCCTGCAGGGTCTCACTTGCCTTTGCCTCAAAATAATCCATGTACCCCAAGAAGCACATCTTGGGGCTCATTCTGAATCCCTACAATGGTCACTGGGCACTCCAGGCTACGCCGTGTTGAGATTTAGGCTTGAGTGTGTATTGTCTGTATGCCCAGCAGCTGCTGGCAGTGATGCTTCTTACCTCTTTCCTCCTCCCACCTGACTCAGCTCCGACTTCTCTCTCTGCTGCTGGGTGCCCTGGGGCGATCACTCAGCCTCTCTGGGCCTCGAACGGTCACCTGTAAAAGTGGAACAGAACCACCCTCTGTACTGTAGGCAGTCAGTCCTTCTGGAGCAGAGCCGGGGCACAGAGCCTGCGCCGCCAGCCGCCCAGCACCAACAGCCACCCTCCCACCCATGGGGTCTTTCTGAGGCCACTTGCTTCAATGTCCACCTGTAAGATTAGCGCCTGCTCTGCTTGTCCTCGTGCCCTGGGCCCAACCTGCCAGGTGCGAGGGGTAGAAGGACCTTGCGAAGTCCACCTGAGTGAGAGGTAGGGCTGGTGCTGTCTCGCCCACACCCTCATGGCCTTTGCTGAAAATTTGATGACTAGCCTCTTAGTCACCCACCTCTCAGGGCCAGCAGGGCTGCGTCCCATGTCATCACGAAGCCTGGCCAAGATGCAGTTGCACGCCATGCACTGTTACCACGGAGCTCTTCCTCGCAGCCCTCGGGCATGGCGGTGGCCTCACCAGTGAAGAAGCTGAGGCCCAGAGCTGTTCAGCGGCTTGGTGACGTCCAGCCACCAAGGCAGAGGCTGGGGGGGGTGGGGGGGGGGTGGACGGCTCTCAGCTTTAGGCCGGTCAAGTCTGCTGGTTCTGGCTGAGTCATGGGCTGCTGGGTGCTCCCACAGAACAGTGGCGAAGGCACTGAGAGGCCGACTTTGTGGGCTGCTGGCAGAGGGTCCTTCCCAGCCCAGCAGGAAGGGAGTGGCTCAGGCAAGCACACTCCGGCCCACAGCCTGGAGCCCTGGCTAGGGGTGGGGGATGCCTGTGCTGGTGGCCACCTCTCCTGGTTCCTTAGTGTTGGCAGCTGCGGGGCATTTTGTCCTGCCCTCCCTGAGGAGGGACACTGGCTCCACACCCAGGGGATCGTCTCCAGCTTGGGCTGGGAAGCTGCAGGGCCGAGGACAAGGCCTCACCAGGCAGCTCCCTGCTCCCAGGACAGGGTTGGGCATTGGCTGACGGAAAGAACAAGATGGGGGTGCCCTGTAAAACCCCCATTGGCCCCCTGCTGTTAGTGGGCCCCTGGCTGAGTGCCTGAGGGCAAGCCCTCCCTCTGCTTCCCATCCCCTCAGCCATGAAGTCCTCTTGTGGCCTCTTGGGGAAGCCGCTGAGTCAGCTGTGCTGTACGGATGAAGGTCACAGCTTAGAGGTGAAGCAAGTTCCAAGTCCCACAGCTGGAAAGGACCGGAGCCAGAGTCCGCCGTGGGGCCCACGGGGCCGGTCAGAGTAGGGCCGGTGTGTCGGTATCAGGGCAGAGAGGACCAGGGGACGCTGCACTGGGAATGGGTGTCAGGCTGACCCTGTGGGCTGACTGTGCATGCAGGTTCCCGCTCAGGCTCCACAGGGCCCGCCCAGATCAAGACTGTGAGGGTGGAATTGTCCAGTTGGGCCAGCAGAGTGAGTGGGGAGGGACCCCAGCCAAGGGGCTGGTGTCAGTGAGCATGTCTTTGTGTAGGTGGGGGTGTCCCTGGCCTCAAGAATCTCTCCAAGTGAGAGGGACGACCAGGGAGGCGTTGGGAGCTGGTCTCTGCAGGCCCACTGGGCGCCTGGTGAATGCAGGAGATGCCAGGCCTTCCTGGCTCCCATCTTGGGCTCACCTGGCCCTTTTGTTTGCTGTCCCTCACGGGTCTCCCACCATCGGCTGCAGCAGCTGGAAGAGGAGCCCAGGAACCACAGATCCTTGTGTTAGCAGGGACTCTGGGGAACACAGTGCAGCCGGGCCCGGGTCCGGGGCCAGCCCGCTGCCGCCTTCAGCCTCTGTCCTCATGTTGACTGGAGTCTGCAGGTTCCCACAGGCTTGTCCCTGACCCGCGGAGCAGGAGCAGGAGCAGGAGGGGCCTGGAAGGGTATCTGTGGTCACGGTGCAGTGGGCGCGGGCCTGACTCCAGTTCCAGGGCTCCGTGGCTTTGGGCAGGCGGCTGTTTCTGAGCCTAGCCTTCGGCCGCCAGGTGGGGGACAGAAAGCACTCTTCATGTTCATGAAGAAAACAGCACCGATACTGTGGCAACGAGAACCAACTCTAATACCATCAGTGTGCCCCAGCCTGGGCATCGGAGGCGGGCAGGGCGAGCATCCTGTGTGACAGGCGAGGAAGCCGAGGCTCAGAGAGTCATACAGCTCACAGCAGGGGGCCGCACCTTTAGCCAAGGCTATTCTGACTCCAAAGCCCGAGTCCTGTGGCCACTAGGCCACCAGGTCCAGAAGCAGGTCCTTAAGACTGTGCCGTCATGGGCAGCAGCCCCGAGGTGCAGGCTGCTCGGGGGCAGGGTCCAGCTGAGACTGGGGTGTGTGGGCGAGAGCCAGCCCGACCCTGGATGCTGGGAAGGGACCATCGATCGCTGACCTCCCTGGGGTGGAGCTCTGAGCCCTGGGTGGGATTAGCAGGAGAGGGCAGCTGGCTCTGCCACTCTGGGCCAAGGGAGCCCTCCCACCTCTTGGGTCCCCTTCATCATGGCCTCCTGGGACCCTTGAGGATGTCTTCTGCTTGCTCTGCTGTTAGGAATTAGATTAGTTTTCCATAAAAACAGGATGTGGTGGGTGAGATGGCTGTGTCAGTCTTTTTTCTCACTCCTCTTTTTCCAGGAACTGAATGTATAGCTTTAGCCAGGACTGCCCTGTCCCCACCCGCTGCCTCTCCCAGGGTTCAGGGAACGTCGCTCTCTGCTCTTAAGTGGCTGCTTAATCAGCTTCTCCTCTCATCTGGGAGCTTATTCCATCATCAGGAGCCAGCATGCTGATGGTGGTTTTGTCTCCGGGCTGGGCATGGTGTGGAGGAGGGGCTGCAGGGCCCGCGGGGCAGCAGTGAGATGGTCACTGTGCCGAGGACGGACATCGTGCTGGCCCTGTCTAGGAGTCTGTGGTACTGGACTGCACCTTGGGTGATGGCCTGTGGGAGCGAGCAGGCACCTCTGCCGCTCCCCCCAGAAGGACACCCCCAAGACAACACAGAACTTCAGGGGTTTGCAAGCCTCATCTGGAGGGGCCATTGAATTAAGGAGGCGGTGGAGAGCTAGGCAGGGTAGTGGGCGTGCCTGGCCGTGCACATGGGGAGGGGCCTGCATGTGTGAGCTGTGTGGCCTCTTTAGGAGAGAGTCCAGTTGTCTGGAAGTCTTGGGCATGATTGGGAAGGCTGGTGGGGGGTGGGGAGCTGTGTTGGGGAGGGTGGGTTTTGTTGTGCCAGTGATGGGAGCGGTAGAATCCCCTGGCTCCCTCCTTGCTCTGAGTCCTTGAAGGGACTGCCCCACCGTTAAGGACCCAGCTCCGAGGGAGCTGGTCCAGCCTGGCCTGTCACTCACTGGCTGTGGGCTAGGCTTGTGAGCTGTGGGGACCCTCCCTCCCCAGGCACAGGCCCTCGTGAGTCGACAGCAGTGGGGCCTCCCACCGCCTCGGGCTCCTGGAAGTGGCGCCTTGCCTGAGCTGAGAGCTGATGGCACTGTACTTTCGGGGATATGGGAGAGATTGGGGAGGGGAGCGTGGTTTCCAGCAAAGCCAGCTTCCCCCTCAGCCACTTCTCAGCAGGCCCAGGCTTCATGCCTCTGGAAGTTTCCAACTTGATTTAAGAGGGGAAAGGCCCCGTGGCCTGCTTATGCAGAAGGGCAGGGCCTGCCCCACCCCCTTCCACTCTCATCCTGAGCCGTCCAGACCTCTGTCCCCCTCGGCAGGACTGTTAGGCAGCCGGCTGGGGCCTCTGTGTTCTGGTCTCCCAGGAATTGGGAGTGCCCAAGACCAGCGAGGTTGGCACCTCCTTGGTGGCGCAGGGCCTGGCTCAGGAAGGTCACAGGCACATTTATTGAGGCCCAGAGAGACCATAGCCTCAGGTAGGGAATGCCCCTTGGACATGACCCCGGATGGAATTGCAGCGCTCAGAAGTGGCCCGTCCTGGGAGGACATCCCGAAATGCATGAGCGATTCCTCGAGGAGGGAGAGGAATTGTAGGGAGATGAGCGAGGGAACTTCAGCATAATCAGTAAAGTTTCATTTGGCAAAATACCCGTGTGGGGGAGAATTGCGTGAGACAGACAGGTGGTCCCAGGAGGGATGGGACTGAGCGTTGATTACTTGCTGTGATTTTCTGCATCTAAACAACACTTTGAAAATGAAGAAAAGGAAAGTGAAAGTTACATGAGCTGGTCAGTGACCTTTCTTGCAAAAGGGAAACTGAGGCCCGTTTCTGGCCTGACAGAGTCCAGGGTTCAAGCCTGGGGGGCACCAGCCATCTTGCCAGGCCTTCGCTGGTCATGTCCTCGGGTGCTCAGGGCGGCATGGGCTGGGTGGGTCCCTGTTCCAGGGGCTGGTTTCCTGGGGGTGGGGCCAGCTGGTTGTTATGAGCGGACTGTGTTGATTTTTCCCTTGGTCTCTTCATGAGCTTGTTGAATTTCCAGGGAATGTGTGGGGCCCCAGGCATCCTGTCCACCCCATCCCCGAAGCCACACAGCTGTCACCTGGGCCTGGACTTCAGAGACGGGAGGGCCAGCCTGGTGTTCACAATGCAGAACCTCAGAATCAGCTGAATAAGCAGGGTTCTCCAGAGAAACAGAGCCAAGAGGACACAGATAGCTATGACATCTTAAATAAGGGACACACACACACACACACACACACACATTTATTTATGTCTATACATATATTTACACACGCGAGGCAGGAGATTTATTTTAAGGAATTGGCTCACACAACCTCAGGGCTGGCGAGTCTGAAATTTGCAGGGCAGCTCAGCAGGCTGGATATTCAGGCAAGAGTTGATGTTGCAATCTTGAGTCCAAATTCTGCAAAGGCCGCCTTCTGGAGAATTCTTTTCCCCAGGGGGCCTCAGTCTTTGCTTCTAAGGCTTTTATCTGATCGTCTGTGACCTGCCCACCTTATGGATTGTCACCTACTTTACTTAGAGTTGACCGATTTAAACATGAGTCCCAACTAAAACATACCTTCACAGTAAACACAGACTGGTGTTTGACTAAACTGGGCGCCCAAGTTGACATGTACAATGAACCACCACACCCAAGCTGCTCCGTTACAAAAGTACCCAGCCTGCTACTCTAAAAACACAGACTCTGAGCTGATTTGCCCATGACATCTCTGGCCACACCTCAGGCCTTCCGGCAAGTTCTCTGACCCCACGCCCTCATCCAGAATGGAAATGGCATATCAGGTTCTCCAAGGACACCTAGGTGTCACCTGTCATCTGGTCCATTCTGGGGAAGCCATGGCACAGGGCGGGCAGGCTGAGCCTCCTGCTCAAATATGCATAGATGATGATAGCCCCTCCTCCCTAACAGCCAGATGGAGACACCCCACCCAGCTCCCTCATCCCTGGGGAGGTCAGGGTTGTGAAGGGCCCTGTGGTCCCTCCTCCCCTACCTGGCCAGGCTGCTCTCCGGAGCCAGTGACCGCGCCCCCATCTGCCAGCAAGAAGTGGCCAGGTGGCATTCCTCCCTGGGTGTTAGTAAGGGCTTCAGAGAGCAGGGCCTGCCATACCAGACAGACCAAAGGACTTGGGATGCTGGGGGCCTGCTGAGCCACAGGGCGGGGCTCTGAGTCAGCACCCCGACCTCGTGTCCTGAGCTGAGGAGGAGGCGTGGGCACCGGTTCTGCCTGGGGTGGATCCCTCATTGGGCAGGTGGCCACTGGGAGGGTCGAGCAGCCCGGAAGCTCTGGAAACCCCCGCTGCCTCTGGGCCTGTCTCCACTCTGGGGAGAGGCAGGGCTTGTGAGAAGGCGCAGAGGCCAATGGAGCAATCTATGTGGCAAATAGATGGTGATGGAGAAGCACGTTGCTTGTTCCTTCTGAGTTGGAAGAATTGCACACCCGTGTCCTGCCAGCTCCTGAGGTCGCCGTCCAGAGGGCCAGCTCTCTGTGGGGCACATCCGTGTTCCCTTGGAGGGGTGTCACCATGGAGATTGCAGGGCCCGCCCCACACAGGTCCGGTGAGCCTGAGCATCTGCACTGCCACCAAATCCCCAGATGGTGCTAATGGTGTGGGAACCCCACCTGGAGGACCACAGCTCTGTGAAGTGGGTCGTGCTAAGTTTTGTCACAGTAGAGAACTTGGGAAAACGTGGCCTACTGACTGAAGGGGCCTTTGGGAGGTCCAGTCTCCAGTGACGGAGACCCGGACATTATGTATGGCCTGTGCCATGTGTCACAGCCCGTCCCACTTTCTCCGAGTCTGCCGACAGCTCCCCGCGCATTCCTTTCTAGGGCCTTTGCACTGGATGTTCCGTGGATTTCCTGGCTCAGGCCCCATCTCTCTGCGTTACCGGGTTTATGACCACACCTGACACCTTGGTGTGTGTTATTTGGGCACCTGTGGCAGATGTGTGCCCTCACCCTAACTTGAAGCTTGCATCGTCCTGCCATGTGGGCCAGCTCACTGTAATGGCTGTGGTGCTCTTGTAGGAGCTCCGTGTCACCCTCTCTCATCCTCTGCCCTCTACGGAGGGGAGCGAGGTGGCTGCCCTTGCCCCAGGCCCTGAGTGGTCTGGGTAGGGTTGTTCCTGAGGGCTGAAGAGGCCCCATCTGGTGGTCAGTGCTGGGTGGGTTGTCTGGCTGGCAGGATCTGGGTGGCCCGGGCTGTGGCCTTGAGGAGAGGTGTGTGGGTTGGGTGAGAGGCCTGTGTCCTGGTTCAGGGGAGTCCTCTGGGCAGCGTGGCCTCATCGTGCCCATCATTTCAGGTGGCGTTGAAGGCATTACCTCTGTAGGAAGCCCCATGCCATGGAATGGGGCCACCTTTGCAGGAACCCCCACACTGTGGGAGGGGGACACCTCTGTAGGAACCCAGTCATATCAGTTGACCTGGAATTAGGGGGTAGGGATGGGTGTGGGAGTGGCTCTGGGTCATGGAGCATCATTGTTTACTCAGAGCCTAGCGCTAATCAGTGTGGTCCAGAGGCCTCTGGACTTGTGGGGTCAGGCAGATAGAGTGAGGGGACTGTCCAGACTGCCTCCTCTGTACATTCCAGAGAGCAGGGTGGTAGCTGCTCCCTCTTCAGTTTTATAGTGAACTCGTTCCTGAAACCAGCACGTCCCCTCCCCTCATATGTGCCCTCGCTCTCAAGAGAGCCCCCCAACTAGCCCTCCACGAGCACATGCATGGCTATCGCATTAGGTCCTCACAGTCACCTGGGGAAGGCAGGGCCGGAAATGCTGGGAAATGCTGATGAGAGAAGGGGTTGTGGAGGAGAAGCAGCCATTGGCCTGGGGCCTGCAGCCATCTCTGCTCGAGGCCGGCTCTGTTCATGGCCGGCTCTGCTCGAGGCTAGCCTTGGGTCTTTCTGGACTTGGCCTCTGGCACAGAGGAGCCATTTCACCCACCTGCCCCACCTACCTGGGGGCTGCGACCTCATTGGGGAGAGCACCAGCTGGACCCCAGGCAGACCTGAATCATAAGCTGAGGCCTCACCTGGCCCCACCCCTGGACAGCTGTCCTGTCACCACGCTTGGTTCTGGCTGCACCCCTCCCAGGTAGGCACCCTCTGTGACAGGGCCACCTGTGGACTCTGGCAGCTGGTGCAGGAGGAGCCCCTTGCCTGCACAGAGCTACCCTTCAGGGTCTGGAGATACAGTTCAGCTGGGAGCCCCTTTTCTTGAAGCTGGAGGGGTCCTGCCTGGCCCTTAGGAGTCTTGGTGGCAGAGATTTGGGAGGCCAGTGACCTGAGGATCAGACTCAGGCCCTAAATAGGGCCCACGACTTGGAGCAGCGGAGGGCACCAGCTTCCCCCCTCCCTCCTGTGGCAGGCGGGCTCCCTGTGCTGGTGACTGGCCTTGGGGATCTCATTATGTAGGCCGACTGTGTCACCGGTCAAAGTGACCCTCTGTATAGGCCCCAGCTGTGCCCCGTTCCAATCCACGGCCCAGGCAGGGGCGGGCCCACCACACATCAGGGCCCCACGTCCATAAACTACTCCCTTCCTGGGCACCCTGCCCTCCGCCTGTTTACCTGTGTCAGCTGCAGAGATGTCCGGGCAGATAAGAGCCTGGCCTCCTGCCCTGGGAGGCGGGGTCTCTCCATGGAGATCCCTCCCTGTGGAATGTGGGCCCCACCCTTGCCCTGGAATCCGGCCGAGGCAGGGCAGCCAGTGCCTACTCTTCAGGGGAACGGAGCACATAACACATTTCTGCTCTCCCAACAATGGGCAGCGTCGCGGTCATCACTGGGACCACCACTGGCAGTCGGGCGGGTCCTAGGAGAGGATCTCGGGTTGCGCAGCAGGGAAAGGGGCTCCCAGCAGTGCTGGGGAGGGGGTCTGAGCAGCCTTGAGGAGTACAGAGTGCCCTCCTTGTTCACCTGGGCAGAGTGCCGCCTGCCTGCCATGGGGGAAGGGGAGACGCCTCCACTGTGGACACTTTGGGGTTGGGAGGCCTGTAAACAGTTAGCTAGGCCTGTAAACAGTTAGCAAGGCTTATAAACAGTTAGAAGGCTGCCTGTGCCCCCAAGGAGCAGCTCACATCAGCACACGTCACCCCAGCCTGGGCTCCCTCAGGCAAGGCAGCACTGGTTGAGAACGAGGGCTCAGGTGTCCAAGTCCCCTTTGCTCCACCTGCTGCACCTCTGGGAGCCCTCTCCTCACAGCCTCAGCCTGCTCATCCGTGAAATGGACACAGCAATATTGGCCCAGGCTTGTGTGGGAGTCTCATAGGTGATGCCTGCGGAGTTGTTGCTGGCGTCAGGACCCCCAAGACTTGGTTTAGCCGCCCTCCCCCCTTTTTGGGCCTCTTGGCACCTGTGCTGCGAAGGGTTGGCCTCATGATGTCTACTTGGCCCCTGGGCAGGTGGTCATCCCTCCTATCGCCCATGCTGTCTCTCTCTGTCCCTTGCCCTGTCACCTGTCTGCAGCTGCCCCGCCCCTTCCAACAGCCTGGGCTGAGTGTGGCTGGGAAAGGCATGCTCTCCATACCTGCGGGATTGATCTGAGGACTGTGATGGGCACCTGTGGCTGCCTCATTCCTCTTTTGGGGTTCCTCTGTGGGCCCCCAGGTCCTGGGCGCTCAGCATGGCTTCACAGAGCTGGTGCAGGGAGGGCACCCGGCCATCCTCACCCTGTCCTGCCTGGATCAGGTGAGCCATAAAACCAAGTGTCCCCGACACCGTGCTCATTAACCCGGACACCGTGCTAGTTAAACCCGAGCCTGGCGCCCAGGCCTCGTGGCCCAGCTCCAAGTAGGTAACACAACGTCGCTTGGCTGCCAGGGCCCCTCCCCCCCTTCCTCTGCCCTGCCCCTCCCCCCAATGTCAGCTCCTCGGTCCTTCTTCTCTGTTGACTTTAGAAAGACCCCTTTTCTGCCATGACATGAAAGTCTTCTCTCCTGTGAGACAAAAGGGATTTCTGTGAGCGTCTGAGTGTTTAGAGCTTTGTGACTGAAGTGCTGCCTGTGCTACGCTCTGAGGGTGCGCTAGACACTCGCCTGGCTTCTCTCGCTCTCCTTGTCCTGTGGAGCTGGGCTGGGAGGGTGATGGGAATGTCCCCGTGACTGTCCATCCTGCTGTGGGAGTGCAGCCCCCAAGGATACCAGCGTGTGGCCAGCGCTGGAGTTACCAAGGGGACGAATGTGGGCTTAGGCAGGGAAGTGTTGCAAAGTGGGTCACGGAGGGTGATTTGAAGGGCGATGGCTGAAGTGCCAGGTGTTTCAGGGAGACTGGTAGGCTTTGCTCGGGCTGTGGGCAGGGTGGGTGAGGAGGGTCTGCTGGCCAGGCCCCCTCAGCTCCCCTTCCCACCCTCCATAGTCTGTGTGCCCTTCAAGGATCCCTGCGTGCCCGGAGCTCTGAGATGCCAGGCCTCACTGCCCATGCTGACCCCAACCAGTTCTTGTCCCTAAGGGTAAGGGACACTTGACTGCCCTGGGGCCCCAGGCCAACCTTGCCATCTTTGCTCTTCCAGAAAGGTGGGGTTGACCTACGCCCTGGGTCAGGTCTGGGCCTGGGTCTGGGTTCAGGTTCTGCACCCTGCCTTGGGGACATGGCAAGTGGGACCGCCACTGTGGGAATATAAGGCCCAGCTGCCTGGGCAGCTCCAGTGGAGGACAGGGGACAGCCAGGCACTGCCCAGTGCCCGCTCTGCCACCTCAGTCTACCCTCTTCTTCCTCTCCCTGCCCCGTCTGCCTGCTGGCAGAAGCTAGCAGGGAGGTGCCTATGGGTTTGTCCTTCAAGCCAAATCAGACAGAGGGAGCACTCAGGAGATGCAGCAGGCTGGGGGAGGGGCTGGTACCAGGACCCGGTCCCCAGCAGCTGCCCTGGCCTGACAGCTGTCGCCTGGGGACTCGAGGCCTCCCAGCCCTGGGCCCTGCTTCGCCTCCGAGGAGCCTCGCCCGGCTGGCGGCAGAAGGCAGTCCTGCAAGGTGCCTGCCTGGTCAGGGACGCTCGGGTCCCACCCGCTGTTGCCATGACCCTGTGCAGACACAGGTGACTCATGTCCTTCCCAGCCCCTGGCCCCTTCTCTGAAAGGAGCGCCAGGGCTGTGTGACCCAACCCCCTTCGGTGGTATGTTTCCTCCAGTCTCTCCGTCCCCGCCCCCTCCACTTGGTGTTGGCCACACTAACGCATGAGCATGATCTTGTAAAAATGGAAACCTTACAAACAGGGTCCAGGGTCCCTCTGCACAGGTGAACACTGACGTCAGTTTGGTGTTGATCTTTCTGGGCCTTTTTTTTTTTTTTTAAATATATTTTATTGATTTTTTTACAGAGAGGAAAGGAGAGAGATAGAGAGTCAGAAACATCGATGAGAGAGAAACATCGACCAGCCGCCTCCTGCCCACTCCCCACTGGGGACGTGCCCGCAACCCAGGCACACGCCCCTGACCGGAATCGAACCTGGGACCCTTCAGTCCACAGGCCGACGCTCTATCCACTGAGCCAAACCGGCTTCGGCTTTCTGGGCCTTTTTATATGTCTGCATACACAAATGCTGTTTGTTTTCATTTTAGTCTTACACGGAAGCATCGTAGTGTGCGCAGATGGGTGGCTGTGGCTTGGGCGGCCAGCGGTGTCTTAGAGCTGGGTCCAGTTAGTTCTCCCCTGCTGCATACCAGGCACTGTCAGCTACAGCCCGGGGGCGAGAGCTATGATCCCTCCCCCTTAATAGCTGCGGGAACTGTGGCACAGAGTCCCCATCTCCCGCAGAGCCAGCTGGGACCGCCAGATCGCAGGCTCCAGCCCCATTTCACAGATGAGGAAACTGAGGCCCAGAGGAAGGCAGTGATGTTTCCTGGTTCCTGGCACAGGCTATGTGCCACTGAGCCACCTCCTTACAGACTTTCCTCCAGACTCCTTAGCCCTTGGCCATCCGCCCTTCTTGATTCGACCCAGAAGGCCAGCCCAGGCCCTTGGGCCTCACCCCAGCAGGAGCGCAGTGGGAAAAGGAGGAAGTGGCCGCGTGACAGGCAGCCGCCCTTGCACTCCTCCCTCTGCCCTCCTTGATTCCCTTTCCTCCATGTGCTCAGCTCTGGCTGCCTCTGGGAGGGCCTGGTCCCCTAGCCTAGTGGGCGGGTGGGCAGCTGTGCCCTGGTCCTGATTTCCTGCATCGGGTCTGCTGGCTGGGTCCCTGCTCACCAGCTACTGCCTTAGACCTGCTAGTGCTGGACCAACCCTCTACCTGCCTGTGGGCCAGTTTGGCAGCCCCTGCACCCTGGCCTGGGGACGACCCTTATCCTGGTGCCTTCTGTACTTGGGGCACCTAGGTCCATGCCATTTCCAGGGGAGTGTCAGCCACTCCCTGGGACTCCTTTAGTTTCCTCACCTGCAAAGTAGAGGTAGCAATAGTGCTCCTCAGGTGCATGGGGATACTGACGTGATGGCCATGGTGTGTTTGTGCCCCCAACCCCGGTCCCAGCCCACCGCCTCTCCCTGGGACATCGCAGCTCCAGCATCTGTCCCTACGGTGGAGCCACTGTCCCGCCTGTGGGTGCAGGCAGTGTGGCGGCGTGCTCAGGCTGCCGGTCTGTTTCCTGAGGCTGTCCTGCAAATGTTGCTAAAATGCCCATCTCAGAGCATCGCTGCTAAGACACTGAGCAGCCACGTGTGAGGTGCCTGCCCATCGCCACCATAGCCCTCTATGCTGCGTGGTTGCCCCCACTTTACAGATAGGAAACTGAGGTTCGGAGCAGGCAGCCCTCCCCTGAGGCACAGGCCAGGCTCTGGGGGACTGTCGCTGGAGCATGTGACCTGGGGGTCTTGGATGTCAGGCCCCCTTCTCCCTTCAGGCCGTGGCCATGGTGTCCAGCCCTCCGAATGGCGTGTCCTGGCTGAGTGGTCCCGGATATTTGTGACTTTCACTAGCCCACCTCACCTTCCCATCCCGACCTGGCATCAGCTGAGACCAGGGCACCATCGGCCCCCTCTCCAGGCCTCCGTTTCCTCATCTACAGGAGAGGATCTGCCGTGCTGGGTGAGGGTTTGGGAGGGGTTAAGCTTGTGCTGGTGGGGTAAGGGAGTCTTTTCCTGCCCAGCATGGCTTTCTCTCTCCTCCCATTTCTATCCTATTGTTCCTGGCTCAGGAAAAGGCATATTTTCCCCATGAGGTCACCATCCTGGCCACTGGCAGCTCCTAAAGGGGAGGTAGGAACTGTCTGGGCAGGGCAGGCCCTATCCCCCTTATCTGATGTCACTGGTCCCCACCTCCTCTCCAGCTGAGTTCTTCTTTCCCTGTCAGAGTCTGGGGCTGACGGAAACCTCCTCCAGCCTCCCCTTAGTCTTAGCCTGACTTCAAGGTCGGAAGCAATGCCACCTCCTCCAGGCAGCCTACTCTGATGTCCTGGCCTCCTCAGCACGCAATCACATTGAAGCCATGTTCATGGCTCTTAGAACAGCAACCTCAATGGACAGACACAGTGTGGCCTGCAAGCCCTTGATGTGGAGCTAGAATTCGGGACCTAAAGCCTGGCTGCACCACCCACCAGAGCGGCCCTTCCTCCGAGAACCTGTTTCTGCATCTGAACAATAGGGAGTGTGAGAGTTGGCAAGGTTCTGCTATTGAGGCCAGTTTGTCTCTGCTCCCGTGCTGGCCTGAGGTCACGCTTGCTTTGCTGGCCTCTCTCCCTGTCCCAGTCCCTATGTCTGGGGGAGGGTGACAGGATGGGACATAAGTCAGCCCCTACGCTTAGCCCCTGTCCCCCCCTCCCCCCAAAACAAGGAGGCCAGTGTCTGGGGCTGTCTGGGCGCCACCCACCTGCCCAGTGCCGGCTTCCTGGCTAGGCTTGTGGCAGAAGATGGAGTCAGGAAGACCAGCCAGGGCCGGCCCATCTCACAGCCTGTTTCTGGGGGAGCTGGGCTTGGGCAGGCTGCGCTCCGAGACATCCCGGGGCCTCTAGGAGGGCTGGAGGCCCAGTTTCCTCATCTGTGTGGGTGGAGACGCTCACCTCGGGCACGCATTGCCTCCCTCTGTCTGTCTGATGTGCCCCTGGAGCTTTGGCAGTGTCTTCCAAGGGGCAGGTCAGCTGTGTGGTGAATGAATGAATGAGTGAAAGAATGAATGACTCTGTGGGGGGCACTGTTACCCACTCCAGGGCAGGCCCAATGCTAAGCCCATGTGGAGCCCTCCCAGGGTGGGGGCAGCAGCCCATGCGCCCTGCATGGGGCTGACGTACAGTCTGTTCCAAAGTGCTTCCTACATACACCCTCTGGCCCTGCTCCCTCAGATTCTTCGTCTCTCATTTCCCAATTTTGGCAAACAGCTTCTCAAAGATTCTTTTCTTCCTGTTCAGCCTGAGACGGGGGGAGAGGATGGGGAGGCCTGGTCGCGGCTCCACTGGCAGCAGCAGTCGGGCTCGGGCCAGCCCCTGCCCCCCAGGCTCTGGTTTCTGAAACCTTCAAGGATTTCAGGGGCTATTTGTTTATTTTGGTAAAATACACATAACATAAAACTTACGATCTTAACCATTTTCAAATGTACGTTCAGTGGCATTAAGTAAGCTCTCAGGCCCTAGCCGGTTTTGCTCAGTGGATAGAGTGTCGGCCTGTGGAATGTAGGGTCCCGGGTTCGATTCCTGTCAAAGGCACATGCCCAGGTTGTGGGCTCAATCCCCATGGGGAGCATGCAGGAGGCAGCCAATCAGTGATTTTCTCTCATCATTGATGTTTCTATCTCTCTCT